ATTCCAAAGAAGCGGAAGCTTGGACCAAAGACTGTGGATTGTGTTTTCCTGGGATATGCTTTTCATAGCATTGGCTATAGATTCTTGGTTGTAAAATCTGAGGTACCTGACATGCATGTCGGTACGATCATGGAGTCGAATGATGCGACTTTCTTTGAAGATATCTTTCCCATGAAGGATATGGCTACCTCATCTAATCAGGAGATGCCTAGTTCATCGAATCAGGAACCAGTTACAATTACTGAACCTGCCATTTCGATTGAACACTTTGAAAGTCCTGTGGAGGAGAACAATGAAGTTCCTATTAGGAGCAAGAGACAAAGGACTGCAAAGTCCTTTGGTGATGATTTTCTTGTGTATCTCATAGATGACACTCCCAGTTCTATTTCAGAGGCTTATGCATCTGAAGATGCTGACTACTGGAAGGAAGCAGTTTGTAGCGAGATGGATTCCATCTTGGCGAATGAAACCTGGGAGATAACTGATCGTCCTTATGGGTGCAAACCTATAGGATGCAAATGGGTATTCAAGAAGAAGCTTAGGCCTGATGGTACTATCGAAAAGTACAAGGCTCGGCTCGTGGCTAAGGGTTATACCCAAAAGGAAGGTGAAGATTTCTTTGATACTTACTCACCTGTGGCTCGACTGACCACTATTCGAGTTCTACTTTCACTAGCTGCCTCACATGGTCTTCTCGTTCATCAAATGGATGTTAAGACTGCTTTCCTAAATGGAGAGTTGGATGAGGAAATTTATATGGAACAACTAGAATAGATGGTCAGGAAGGGAAAGTGTGCAAGTTGCTGAAGTCTTTGTATGGACTCAAGCAAGCACCCAAACAGTGGCGAGAAGTTCGAAAGAACTTTAATAGCTGCAGGCTTTGTTGTGAACGAAGCTGACAAATGTGTGTACTATCGCCATGGTGGGGCGAGGGAGTTATGCTTTGCTTGTATGTTGATGACGTACTGATTTTCGGAACAAATCTGAATGTTATTAAGGAGGCCAAGGATCTCCTATCTTGCTGTTTTGAGATGAAGGATTTAGGAGTGCATGATGTCATTCTGAACATCAAGTTGTTGAGAGACGATGATGGTGGGATTACATTGCTTCAATCCCACTATGTGGAAAAGATCTTGAGTCGCTTTGGCTAAAGTGACTGCAAGCCATCTCCAACACCATATGATGCTAGTGTGTTGCTTCGAAAGGATCGGAGAATTGCTAGAGACCAATTGAAATATTCACAGATCATTGGCTCGCTTATGTACTTAGCCAGTGCTACAAGACCTGACATCTCTTTTGCTGTTAGCAAACTAAGTCGGTTTGTCTCAAAACCAGGAGATGTGCGTTGGAAAGCTCTAGCGTTATTTGAAAGGCACTGGAAATTATGGAATTCACTACATCAGGCACCCAAAGGTGCTTGAAGGGTATAGTGACTCAAACTGGATCTCAGATGCTGATGAGATAAAGGCCACGAGAGGATATGTATTCACTCATGGAGGTGGCGCTGTTTCTTGAAAGTCTTACAAGCAGACCATCTTAACGAGGTCAACAATAGAAGCAGAACTCACAGCACTAGATACAACTATGGTCGAAGCAGATTAGCTTCGTCGGCTCTTGAATGACTTGCCGGTAGTTGAGAAACCTGTACCGGGTATCCTTATAAACTGTGATCACTAAAGTGAGCAGCTCAAAGGATAACATGAAGTCATCAAGACACGTTCAGAGAAGGTTAAAGTCTGTCAGAAAAATGAAAAAACTCCGGAGTTATTGCATTGGATTATATCCAAACGTCTAAAAATCTGGTAGATCCTTCTACTAAGGGTCTATCACGTAATGTGATAGATAATGCATCGAGGGAGATGGGTATGAGACCCACAATATGAGTTGTTCATAGTGGTAACCTATTCTTTGTGATCGAAGATCCCGTGAATTAGATGTGGAAGACAAGTTGTTGGTCAACTGGGAGAAGAGTATCCTTATTGTTAAAAATACCACTCCATGAAGATGCAATACTCTCCTAATCTGCATGGCAGGTTGATGTATATCTTAATGTGTTCTAAGTGGCTCTTTGAAGCAGAGATGTTGTCCTGCAGAACATCTTTTGAAGAACGCACCTATATGAGTCTAATTGTTAAACGTCGCAATCTATGAGAGTAGGGTTCTCTCTAGTAAACTCATGAAAGGTCTCGGAGTATGACGCATAAGCTCCACCCGTGGGGAAGACCCACGGTAGCCACATATCGGTCAAGCTTTATGTGAAGCTAGATTCGCAGAAAACTTGCAGTTCAAGGCCCAGTCCACTGTTCAAGTTGCTAACTAGTGTAGCATAGAGTTCTAGGTGGAAGTTCAACTTAACAGTCTCCACTGCAGTACCGGTATATAAAACAGTGTTTTGGAACCAAAGGCAAATTTTGTGTGCCTCTGGGATCTGGTGGGGGATTGCTGGAATTTAGTCTATTTTGGGACAGCCCAATAACTATTTCAGAAATTCCTAAATAAATCCTAGAGGCCCACTTAGCTCATTTGTGCAAGGCAAGGGATACTACTAATGTTTAGTCCCACATTGCTAGTTGAGTGGGAGTGGGACCTCCTTATAAGGGAGGTTCTTTCCCCACTTGTATGAGCATGAGAACAAGAGGGACATCCACGCGCGCTCCTCCTCCGCCGCCCGCCTCGTCACGCCACGCCTTGTCACGACGCGGGTTGCGGGTTGCGGGAATGAGCCGAGCCGATGTCTAAATATTTGCCACACACTACGGGTATACGAAAGGTCACTCGGAAGCTGAAACATTTTTTCTATCCATGGACACTGAATCCGAACGGCGCGTCTCTTCGGCTGCTGCCTGTTCGTTTCGTCTCCCGCGTTCCCTTCAGCTCCCGGTGCAGCCTCTCGCCTCCTTCTCTTGCGCCTATAAAAGGGAGGTTGCTCCTCTCAGAGAGATGCACCAGAATCTCTTCCTCCTCTCGCCACAAGTTCCTGAGCACTGCGCTGCTGCTACGTTTTTCCTCATCCCGGCTTGCAGCGTGCATCACAGGTCGGGACAGTAGGCCTCCGAAACCGCACCTTTTGAGTCCTGTACGGGAGAAGGGTGATAAGGTTTTTGGGGAGCGCTCTGCGCGACTACTGACTTCTTCGTCACGGACGCCCCGGACTCCGATGACTACTTCCCCAACGACGACTACTTCCCCGACGTCGACAACCTCCTCGACGACATGGAGGACACCGACCCCAATTCCAGTGCCTCTGCTCCTGCTGCTGTCACGTACGTGTTTCTCCCCTTTCTATTAGAGGTTCTGCTACAGTTCCTGGTTCTAGTATTTGCCCTACATATGTTAGACTCTATTTCATATATTCAACCTGCTATACTGTCTGCTCTAGATATGTTTAGTTACGGTTCATATATGAACATGTTGTTTACCTTCTCTTTGTTGAATCGCATGGCTTGTTTTATCACTGCTACACTAGTCATGCTTTATATAGTATTTATGTTAATAAAATCATTCGGAAATTTGCTCATATTTCCAACAGAGGGCACCCCTGCCCTCTCGTCCTGGATCGAAGGACGCCGACCCGTCAGGAGGCAGAACAGCTCACCCCCGAGCACGGATGGACTGGCCAACATGTTGCCGGGGAGAGGACAAGCCCTGGCCACCTCACCTCTCACAAGAACCCTGTCATTTTCTACTTTCCGATCGACATGTCTTAATCCCACTCTTAAATCCGCTGAAAGTATCTGGGAGAGAAATTTCAACAAGTGCTTTATGTGAAACGCCAATGATGTACAGTACCTTATTGGAACTAGACAGATGAAAAGATGACGATAAATAGACTTCAGAATAATATCTGAGCCCATTGTGAGCCGCTAACTCTGAAGATAATGACAGGGGTGCGCGAGATATTAACATCATGAACCACCCAAAAAATTAAGCTCTTTATCTTGTCAGCGTTCACTTGTACCAGAGTTACCAACTGCGTGTCAAATCAGCTTACACAGTTTCAGTCACAATGAGAAAACATGTTCATATCCACCAGGAGAGATATTTCTCCCTTGCGATGAAATTCAGAGTGGATAATTGGAACATGGAACAGAGGCAAAACAATCCAGCAGAAAATGGGACTCAGTTGTCTCAAACCATATGAAACCTCACAGCAAAAATCTCAGACTGAAGTGCTAATAGTGGAGGAAAAGTCAGGTTAAGCATCAAATATAACTCAATCACTTCACTTGAGAGTTGAGACCTTCATCAGGGTAATTTTCCAGATCACCACCAACCTCAGGCTGCTGCTGGTGCTTGCAAAACCAGGAAGCAGTGATTAGGCTTGTGGGAAACCATGTAGTTTCAGAAGCACACAGTCACTCCTTCCCTGGTACAACAACTGCAATGTTATCTACCTGAACTGAAGTAGCAGGATGCAGTCTGCAGAGCACTGAATTCAGCAGCTCACAAACAGCACTTCATTGGAATCAGCTATGTGATCCTGAAAGCACTTTTAAATTCCATGTACTAAGCCGAGCACAGATAATAACAGACAGACAGACAGACAGGCGAGGAAAAGAAATGCACTTGAATTGATGCGAGCTCTTATGCCGAACAGGCTACAAACACAAACACACTACTACTACCTCCGTTCGGAAATACTTGACGTGGTTCTAGTTCAAATTTGAACTATGAACTTCCCTGGCAGTACACAATCTGTCTGTTTGTTTTCAGAAAATGAAGGAGCTACCACCGGCCTCTGCACCAATCTATTGCACAGCCATAGTAGCATATACATCATCCAGTATACCAATTGAATCTATATAATATACTATCCATCTTTGCCCAAAAGAATCAAGGCATGTACTGTATGTCTGTATCCCCTTCATTGCTGATTGCTGCGCAAAACTTTACAGGACAGAGGCTGCTGCTCTTCATCAGTCTGAAAAACTGCTAGTAGGTGCTAGCTGTGCAGCCAGCTGAGTTTCTCTGAGAAGAGCGGCGGCCACCGGCCGGCCAGCTTAGCTCACCCTCTGCGCGGCGGCGGCCGACCTCTTGGCCCGCTTGGCCTGGTGGATCTTGGTGTAGACCCGCCTGGTCCTGAGGCTGAGCAGCACGTCGAGGCCGAAGCCGACGACGCAGGCGGCGGCCATGACGACGAAGACGAGGCGGTAGCAGTGCGCGCCGGAGCAGGTGTTGCCGCCGCCGGGCACCTTGGTGGCCTCCGCGTCGTAGAGGAGGCCCGCCAGGAGGCCCGAGAAGAGGAAGGAGCCCAGCGGCAGGTTGAGGATGAGGATGTTGTAGATGAGGCCGTAGTACTTGAGGCCGAACAGCTCCGACGCCGTGGGCACGGTGACCGCCAGCCGCACGCCGTAGCAGACGCCCACCACCACCGAGCCGACGAAGAGCGACCCCGGCATGCCGAACGCCATCACCACGTACCCCGCGAACATGAGCACCTGCGACGCCGCGTTCCACACCGGCCGCGGCAGCGCCCTCGTCCTGGAATTCAGTCATGTCTCACAACGTTAGGCAGTGTCAGAATTAATTAAGAGATTAGGTTGCAAAGACAGGCCCTCATTATATATATTCACTTTGGAAAGTACATAATGATGATCGAAAAGCGAGCAATAATGAGAGCAATCTGAGTTTCTGGATCTCTATATGCACATACTGATTGACAGTGATCGATGTTTCGAATATTTCTATGCATGATCGAGAAGCAAGAAAATCAGTCAGTGATCGTTGTTTGGCAAGGTTAGACAGTGCCAGAAAATGGAATGAACAGGTTACTACTCCCTCCGTCCCCAAATGTAAGACACTTTTTCATACTACTATAGTGTCAAAAAAACATCATCCTCATTTACATAATGATTGACTTGGACAGTACTACTACACCATTAGTGATCAAAAAATCACGATTGTTCATTGATACTACTAGCAATCTGAACTTGACGAGTTCTTTTCAGAATGTGACACGCTGATTAAAGATCATGCTCGCGCTCTTGTCCAACCGGGCTAACCCCCTTGCTTACATTAATAAAAACATAACGAAAATAACCAGTTCATTATACAGGTAGGTACTAACAAGTTGAGGCACGATTCATGCGAGATCTTAGTGGTGAGAAACCACCACCTACTACTGAACTGAAGTACTGAACCCATATGAAACAAACAGAATTGGCCGTAGCTATCAGGCTTAATAAAATATCTGCTTCTTTCTACCTAAAAGAGAGCGTGAAAGGGACGCGTCGCCCACCGGTAAAAGGCGCCAAAGCTGCATGCCCATACGCTGCATAAAGTTGACACTTCTATACTCGTCGCAAATTCCTCCACGAAGTTGACGCCCACTTTTCTACTGAACTTGCAACTATTTTTTACTTTTATCGGCATCACTTTGTTGAATATATCTGGGGTTAGTATAATCCGGGCGTCGGTGAATGTCTTTTTGCCAGTAATAAAAAATCAACTGCCGCTCACTTTACTCTTCTAGCTAGCCCACTTTGCCGTCTCCTTCGTGCTTAACATACCACCACCGCACCGCAGCCATTTTAGTCCAGTTCTTTTATTTAACCAAAATATGGTGATGCTTAAGAAAGAATATGCAGAAAATAATCATTCTACATCCAGTAAGATCCCAGTTCTCCCGCAGACACCACTGTGGAGATGCCCGCCGGCCCCATTCATCTCAGACATCTTGTGTACTTCTCACACGACCAAGGCCGCACATTTATCTCATCTGAAAGCAACAGCCACGAAATCTCTGCGCCGTCCATGCGTTTATACTACTTATTCCAGTTTATTTGATTTTCGGCCAAGAACGTTCACGTGCGATTGTGTGGTGGGGTTCGATTCAATTCTGAGCAAGCTAGATATAGATTGATACGGCCCCAGATCCGTACCGTACCACGGACGGAGGTCGTACCCCGTAGCGGGAAGGGAATTAATGGCGGCGAGCAATCATGGCGAGTGAAGGAGGAGGAGACTGGTTTAGTAGTAGGAGTAACGTACTTGATGAAGTGCTCGGAGATGGTGCCGGAGGCGAGGCGGCCGAAGAAGCCCCAGATGCTGGTCATGGAGACGAAGAGGGACACGTCGGTGTAGCCCATGGCCACGCCCATCTGCCCCAGGTTGTTCATCACCGCCAGCCCCGTGCCCACGCCCATCAGGAACGACGAGAAGAGCACCCAGAAATCCAGCGAGGACAGCGCCTCCGCGATCGTGTGCTCCTCCCCGAGCCGCGGCCCGCGACCCTCCTCCGCCTCCCCGTTGCCCTGCAGCTGCGTCGCCGCCGCCTCCGAAGCGGCCGCCTCCTTGGAGTCGAGCAGCAGGGGGGCGGCCGCGGCCTCGGCGTCCGCGTTGGCCGCCTTGCGGGACTTCATCCATGACGTCCAGCCCACGTACGCGGGCACGGCGGCGGGGGCGGCGAGAAGCACCATCAGCACGGCGACGAAGACGGTGGATACGAGCCCCCCGCCACCGCCGACGCCCGTGAGGTCGGCCGCCAGGAGGTAGAGCGCGATGGCGACCGCGAGCGTGCTGATGGCCGCGAACCCGCGCGCGTCAGCCTCGTCCCCGCCCGAATCGGCGCTGGCCACGCGGCCCTCGCGGAGGAACACCATGGCGACGGCGCAGACGGCGGCGGGCACGACGGCGAGCATGACGAGGAAGGAGGCCGGGTCGTCGGCGAAGAGCGCGGAGCAGACGTCGGTGAAGATGGCGGTGCTGAGCCCGACGTAGCCCTTGAGGACCCCGGAGACGGGGCCCCTGCTGCCGCGGAAGTTGCGGATGCAGGTGACGAGCACGGCGGTGTTCATCCAGGTGGTGGAGTTGCCGCCGAGGCAGAGGCAGACGCACATCTGCCAGTAGGGCAGCGGCGCGATTGTTTTCGACACGACGAGCCACTGCGCGCCGTAGCCGAGGAAGCCCTCGAGGGAGCCGATGGCGAGGAGGAGCCAGGTGGGGAGGCGGTCGGAGGCGAGCCCCGCGAGCAGGCCGAAGGCCTTGCCGACGTCCTTGGCGACGGAGAGGCCGTTGAGCTGCAGCTGGGTGAGGCCCATGAGCGTCTTGATGGAGTCGGAGTAGTTGGAGAAGGTGTAGTTGTTGCCCGAGATGCACTGCACCCACACCGCCGCCACCAGCCCCAGCCACCGCCCCCACGCCGTCCCCGCCATCGCGTCCAGCGCCGTCGACACCATCGCCGCCGGCCAAACGGGTCTCGAGCCTACTACCTACTACGGGCTCCTTCTACACTGTTTGCTTTGGCCGCGTCTGCCTGCCTCGGAGTGGGCGGGAGGCGGTATGGGAGGGAGGGCGGGAGCGGGGGCGGTGGAGGCGCGTTGCTTTCCGCGCGTGTCGCGTCGGTCAGTGGGACGGGGCGTGGGTGGGGGGTTTTCGCCTGAGAGGTCACGCTAAGATGAGATTGGGGGGTTTTAGCGAGGAAGATGGCGGTTGATTTTATAGGGAGGCAGGGGGAGACACGGGTCGGAAGTTTTCCTCGGGCTCTTGGGGAGCAGGCAGGACATTGCCGCATTGACGGCGGTGATTCTGTGGATTTTGTTTGGCCCTTTCCGGACGAGAGGCGGCGGTAATTTTGGAGCGAATTGACAGTGAATCGCGGCGACTATTGGCACGGAATCATCACGGCGAGACTGTGATTTTCCCTTGTTACTTTTTTTGACGGGATTTTCCCCTTGTTGATTAATTTTGTGATGATGACGTGAACGCTACGTACTGCCGTTTTCTTCCAACCTAATCAGCTGTTTCATCAGTTTTTCTGTTTGCGGATTGTCGGTTGTCGTTGTATTTGGCGGGGTGGGGGTGACGTGTGCGCAATCTCTAGCGTACGTACGTACATGAATAATGGAGTGAGGTTGGGGCGAAAATGGTTGGATGTTGGTCACAGGGTTGAGAAAGATGGCAAATATACTCGATCCTTATCGGGAATAACTTGGGTTTGACCATATTACTATACCGAGACCGGTTCCTATGTATGTTTAGGGCCATTGCACATCATGCACATTTGTGTCTAATAAGTATCATGGTTGATGAATGCATTTATGTAACAAGTACTTGGAGTAGCTATATCTAAATATACCAGGTGACAGATGTGGTAAGCAATACAAATTCAAAAAAAAAAAGGTATCTAAATGATATTGCCAACGACGGTGGTTTTATGGCTTAGAGTTTAGGGTATAACCTCCTTTTTTTTCATTTGTCCGCGTTCCATTCGGAATTCTAATCTCCTAGTCACCCTCAGAAAACAAATATAGTCGCCTAGCTATCCCAGGGCCTCGGCGATATGGCATTATTTGGACCTTGCGTCCTCTCTACTGCCGGTAAAAGGATCTAGTCGGCTGTACGTAGAGAGGTCCCCACGCTCTTTGAAGATTTTGGTTGCTATAAACGAGAAACAACTTTAGAAATCGGTTTGATTTAAATTATGTAACTTTTAGGATAATCATATTTGACTTTACTAATTTGGACTCACCGATAAAGTTGTTGTAGTATTCTGAATGTTGTATCTTCCTATGCGGCATGATTCTTCAAACTATTTCACCTTAAAGTAGTATATTGACGTAGACCTCCACCCCGCCCCTCACCCATCATGCGGGCTAATTGTTGATTTCTTATGGCGGAAAATATGTGAAATCTATAGCAAAATGATCCAATAATGTCTCATTTTCTATGTATGTGGGAGAAAAACTTTATGCTCTTGCGTCGTCTTTTACATGTAGCCATGTATGGCAAGGAGATCCAGACGAAGCGAGGCTGAAACTCTACGCGAGAGAGATCTTCGATCATGTAAAACCATGGCCCATGAAAGATCTGAATGTTTTGACACGGTTAGAAAATGTATCGACCATACCCCAAAAACTAAATTCAAATTCGATACAAAACTCATGCAACAGAAAAAGACAACTCAGACTGAATGTAGTTTTCACAATATTTGAAGAAATTTATAAAATGAAATTTATCGTTTCTCTCTCTCTCTCTAGCTCAGGAAGAAAATTGGTCGTAGTTTTTGTCATTGGTAAGGCACGAAAGCAGGCGACCGAGCTAGCACCGGTTGCACCAGCGTACGCTAACTGTGCGTAGCATGCGAGTATACAAGGCATCTGATCCAGATGATAAAATAAGATTTTCGATGGATCGATCGACAGCACTTTCTCAACGTGCATGGCACGTAGCTATATTCACGTTGCAAATAATACATTATCTCTGTGAGTCTGTCCCTCGGAACTCACTCATATAACATGCATGCTTGCTTTTTCCGGTTCGGTGCAAATCATAGTCGCTTTTGCCAGCAGAAACTTGCTTTCTTTTTTGGGTCTAAAAGCTGATGAAACTTGCTCGGATCGTAGACTGATGAAACTTGTCAAAAGAACTGATGAAACTTTGCTTTCTTTCTTTTAAAAAAAAAAAACAGATGAAACTTGTTCGGATCGTAGACTTGGAGCGTTCGTAGTACATGTATATACCAGCATTAATAATACGCACGAAGCGTGTGAAACTTGTAGTAGCTTGCAAGCAAGCATCGATGGTCTGTATCTCCATCCCCGGCTCATATCATCGATCTCCTTCGCGTCGCTTGTTCATCAATGCACATATCTCTACGGCCGGCCCGCCCGATCGAACTTCGGAACGGAAACTCACACGCGTGGAGTACTGTACTAGTACTGCTGCACTGCAGCACGAAACTGGTTGCTTTCTCCTCCGCTTCAGATTATAATATCCCAAAGGCACGAAACTTGTTCTAATTGAGGAGCATGGCTCCCAATTTCATTAAATAGGTCAAGGTCGTGGTGTTCATTTTAATTTATAGTTTTGGCTCCTTTTCCTTTTGCAAGTACTCTTTTTAGCCAAAAACGGAAAAATGGGTACTCCGAAGGAAGCAGACCACTTTGCCACTGGATGTTGGCCGGGAGGAAATTAATTCAATAATTGCATCTCCGTTGAGGGAAAGCAGCTGCATCGCTAATTAACTACTTCTAGATTAAAAGCTACTCCATCTGTTTCATAATCTAGTGTTTAAACCCTCTTATATTATGGCACGGAGGGAGTACTAGTGGTGCTGAAGAATACTCATTCCACACAGTTACTCTAGATGGATGCTGAGAAACGAAGCGAACCAGTCTCTTGCAAGTGCTATCGACCTGGCTAGCAGGAGCACCGTGGCATATAGATACTGCAGGTAGGTGCGTCGTGCCGACCACCGCCGACGGTGCAAAAGGTGCCGGTGCCGATCATGGCCCGGTCGGCGCATGTGTAGGTCACCCTCGCCTTCCGCTTTCGCACGTTTTGCTTTTGATGAGTTTTCATGCGCTGACGCGGACGGAACCGCGTGAAGCACGCCTCTCCAGGCGGCAACAGTGCCAGGTCTGTCTCAGGCCTGCACTGCCGGTCTCGGTGTGCCGGACTGTGCCGCACGGCCGTGCCCAGGTCCAACGGCGGAGAAGAGAAGCCAACTTGGCCACTTCCACCACATGAATCCAGCACAGGCCAGTTTGTCAAACACTATGGCCCTTAATCCGTTTGACCTTGCCCAAGCCAGACCCATGGGCATGGGACGTCCACGTTACCGCGACGTCCATGCGCGGTTTTCGATCTCGACGAGAACGTACGCGGCTGCACGCACACGGCAATCCCGCGGCCGCCGCCACGAATGATTGGACGGCGAGACGAACGTGCGTGATGCAGCCTCCAGATGCAAACCGAGGCCTCAGTTCGTTCCCATGCACCTCTGCTCTTGTTTTAGTATCCTCCCTCTGTTCATGAATAAGAGACGTGGTTTTAGTTCAAATTATATACTCCAGAGCGACCGATGGTTCGCAGGAATCTTTAGCTGGCTGGGAGTAGCTCTTGCCCGGATAGGCCCAAATTTTAGAGATAGCGACCTATCCTCCGGTCAAATCAGGCGTACAAATACAACGGCTCACAGCGAAAGTCTCCCGAGTTTTGAACTCCACAGACAGACAGGGTGCTAGTACCGGGTAGTGCAACTCCTGAGCTGAGGGGGACGGGCCGGAAGACGTCCGGACAAACAAACAAACAAACAAACAAACGCAGACTAGACCTCGCGGAGGCCGACCGCGACGATTTGGCTCACCGGGCTTCCGTGTAAGAAGAAGAGCGGCCTTTGGGTGCTCCGGAAGCCGGCACGGACCAAGGGAGGCAAGTCACCGTCCTCCCCGATCACAAAGCTAGCTTCCAACCGCCGTGGATCAGACTGACGATGGCTGTGGAAGCGGAGAGCCCAGCCAAAGATTTCAATGATGTATACGCGCTCGATCTCCTGGTGAGTTTCCACGTCCAGTCACACATTTCGTATATGCCGATGTTAAATGTAATGGCAACATACGCATGCACATCACACGCCCATTCCATTCGAGCGCACATTCTGGCTGGTCGCAATTCAGAATTGACATGAGAAAACGAGTAAATCGTAAAACTCATGTACGCACGGTCAGAGCATACCACGATATGTATGAGACGTATCTGCCGAGTGAAGTTTTTTTTGGATAAGACTTTGTGAGTAGGCGACAAAAACAGCTCTTGAGCACTCCAATGGTCCGTCGCGTTCTACATAATTAATTGGTTGACAAAGCTCTTGCGTTGTGAGTACTGCTACTACGAGTATTATAGTACGCGATCGATGGCCGCCGGACAAGAACTGGAAAATACATGTGATCACGAAGGAGCAACGTACTGTGCCAATCATCCAGCTGTATATTCCTAATCGAGCGATCAAGAGAATCTATTAGCCGCACGCAACTCTGCTTGATTATTGGCCTGAGCCGTAAGCCAGCTGGGAATATAAGTTGACGGCTAGAAGGGCTCGGCGCTACACATGCGCTTCATCATCAGGGGTGGGGCGAGGCCTGACCCTAGGGTGCCATGCTGACATGTAGCGCATGTTAGTCCGACGCTACACAGTATATTGGCGCGCTACGTAAACGGGCCAGCTGGGTGAAAAATTATCATCCACGGTTCATTTTTTGAATTGATTGCGTCTGGAGGTTAGTTTTGCCGCACTGTCCCATTGATTGCTGGCAGGCCGGTGGTGCCGATATGTACGGCGCACATGCAAGCGCCGTATCTTACCAGGCCGATCAGGACGTCTACGGCCCTGGTCTGATAAGCCGTCTGGGTTCTCGAAATGGTGCCACTCAAACAAAGTTGGCACGCCTCTATAACC